TGTTTGTCGCGTTTGTAACAATATTTGCAATTCTGTACGATGAAATTTAAATTTGCAACAAGAAATCGTAAAGAGAACTGCAATTAAAAATTAATATTTATCGTGATGTGACTTTCTGCTCTATAATCTAGTGTCGAGTTACAATTCAAGCAAGTTGGATCAGATTTCAACTTACAAGGAAAGCACGCCTGGGCGGCGTGGCAATAGCGTACAAGAAAATTCATATCTCTAGACCGACCAATGTGGTTTATATTTTATATTTAACTGTTAGTATTAAAGTATATCCTGATACTCGGACCAAAAGAATCTAATTATTGATGAGATGTGGAATTGGAACGAAATAGCGAGATCTTTTGATTTCCGAAATATCGCCAAGACGCCAACTGTATCGAGATTGTTGATTATATTAAAAGGCCTTATCACAAAACTTAAATCCCGTCAAAAGACTATAAAATTTCCTGCAAGATCTCAACGATCACGGTATATGTCAAAGTCTAGCTGTCCGTTGAAAATCTACGGTATTACAGTAAAGTCATACATCAAAGCTTAAGATAAGTCAAACGACAATATATTTGTCTTACTGTTTACTACTGTGTTTATACCACATTTATAAATTTTATAAACAGCTTTCGTTTTGACACAAGCTTTAATTTTCTGCTTTATATATATTCTTAATAATACAAGTGAGATTTAAATTTTTTGCTTTGTGAAATAGAATACCGTTATTTTTAATGGACAGCTTGTATCGTCTCTATCATATCCAGGATTGCTTGTGTCTAAATAGCCTACATGTATCACTATATATGCCACTATCAAATAAATATAGAAATATAAATGAACTTATTGAACTAGAAATCAACAGATGTTTGAGACACCATGAAAACTGTTAGTAGCCTTAGTAGAAGTAGAAAACTCGAAAATTTATGTGTATTCGTATGGCAGTCTGTGCGCGTCTGACACTGTAAATTTCAAAATTTGTGACGTAGATTATAGCCTAGTTGTATGCATATTAGGAAAACATTATCTGACCAAGAAAAAGGCTAAAGCCTTACTATAATTAATGAATACGAATTATGTACTAAATCCAAAATTTTAAAGATAAATCACTGACAGACATTTCTGTTTGGCTAGTATCAAATGTTTACATTTGCTGATCTTGGGCTCTCTCTAGTCCAGGACAATACAATACAATACAATACAATACAATACAATACAATACAATACAATACAATACTGTTTCTTTTAAAAATTTTATAAACAAGACGTGCAAAGCATAGAAACGTTTACAAAAAAAAGACAAATCTAATGCTTGTTTTAAAAACATTAGATATGTAGAAATGGTGACCACTGAAAGGCCCATAAACGTTTGTTATAAAACCGCGCTCGAGTGTGAAGAGAGTATTGAATAAAACAACACGAGAGAGCGCTGCGAGTAACGATTTGCTTGGTTTCTTGACTTGACTGTTGGTAAAACTTGTAAATTCAATGCAAATAAAATAAACAAAAATTAGCAAGTATTTTGAACTTACTGGTAATAGTTCGCAAAATTTATGTTTTTAACTGTTTGTAATTTGATACTTTCACCACACCCCCCTCGGGCAATCAATTTTGGACGAGGCACGTGACCAGCCGATACCAGGGTCTTTCCTAAAGACCCTGGGAACGAGGTTGCCCCGGCCCCAGCCCTGGCTACGCCTCTGCTTTTGCCGAACGGACATTTGCCGAACGGATCGCCAGCTCGCCGAAAATAGAGATGTTATTTCGTCAAAATGTTTGGGACTGTGACTCATTTCTCAACTGAGTAATTCTCAACCATTGTGTAAAATAACCATTATATTGCAATTAGCAGTGCATAATGGGGTCGTTAGCAGTGCATAACCATATTGACTATTGGTAGCTTGTTTGTGCAGCGGATGACTATTTGTTAGGAAGTGGCGTAAGAATATGGCGAGCATGTGCAAACAACGAATCTCATACTTTGATCGTTTTGACGGGCGCGATCGTGAGCTCTACAGGGTGTATCAAAATAAACGCAATTCATCTTTTGTGCTTAATAACTTTCGAAATGCTACTTCTAGTTAAACGCTTTTAGGCTTACTTAAAAGCCTGTTCTTTTCTCTTTCAAACAAACTATTATCCTTGTCTCCAATGCTATAGTAATAATTGCACAGGAAAAGATTTAGTAAAACCTATCATTTTTAGTTGCTGTTTAAGCAAGTTTACTATATGTTATTGTTTAGTCGGTTTAAATGTTAGAATTTTCTTCTTTAAACTTTAATGTTGTCGTCACTACATCTGGAAAACCACGTAAGAACAAATTAAAAGTATTTTAAAAGAGACCAGGTTGTTTGAAAATCCTAAACGAATGCTAAAATCGTGAAAACATTCTGGTGTCTGAGCCAGAGTGTCATCGAATTGCGATGTAATGTAAACAGAAATTATAGCAAGTTGATGTCAGTCAGCTTAGATGGTCCAAGCCAAAATTATATCGCATTTGAAGTTTCAAACTGAGTTAAAAAATAGTGGAAGAAAAGCCGTAATTATACTTATTGTTACAATCCATTTAACAAAATGCAACATTTTTTTGTTTTAATGAAAAAATCAGTTATTTTCATGAGAACGATTTGTTATTCCATCTCAATTTTTTTAATCTCCAATCCCAATAACGTAAATTATTATTACCCGCGAACCAATGAGTCAAATTTAAGAAACCCACTTTTAGAAAGCTGAATGGCTATGCTTTAAAATGAATGTAAACTTTAACGTTTTCGTCTATTATTTGTTTAGCAATTTACATTTCAGTCGAGGATTGCGCTTTTTTGATACACCCTGTATACTTAAAGTACAGTTGCCAAGCGTTAACACAAGTTCATGAACATGTGATGGTTTTTTTTGTAGATGGAATATTCGAAATGAAATTTACATTACCGGTGATACATTTTTGAACTAATCAAGCCTAGTTATAAAAATATAGGCCCTCTGGCAGGAATCAAACCCGTGGCCCTGCTGATTCCGGTGCAGCGCTCTAACCAACCAAGCTACAGAGTCCAGTTGTCAAGCTCTAACTGCAAGTTCATGTATATGTACTAATGTGATGCCAGTGTATGAGTAAATATCAGGAGTTTGGGCATCTCAGTCGATAGAATTACAGGAATTAAGTGTTGAAGGGTTTTGTAGATGAAATTTTCAAGTATAAATTTGTTATATCACAATGGCATCATTTTACCAAAATAAGGTCATGAAGAACACCAAAAATCTGAGAGTGGACTAGGGAGCGGTCATTAATTACTGGGGGGGGAGGCGGTAAATTTGAGGGGAGGGCTGAGATTTCTTGAGCTTCAATTTGGGGTGGGCTGATGCTTAGGGAAGGTCACATTACACTTATAACAAATCAAATGTTGTTGCTAAAACAGTGATGGTTTATAGTGATCCTCGAATCGATCCTATATAAATCATTAAAATACAGTAGAGTAATGCTTCCATTAGTCTTTCACATATTGGCCCAAAGTATGGTGTGCATGTAGATGATTCCCAATAAGGGCCAATGTCATCTGAACTGCTGCCCCAGTCATTAACAGCGCCATCATTGTACCAGTACCATCAATATCATCAGTACCATCAAAATCAACAGTACCATCAATATCAACAGTACCATCAACATCAACAGTACCATCAACATCAACAGTACCATCAATATCATTAGTACCATCAATATCATCAGTACCATCAATATCATCAATATCAACAGCACCATCAATATCAACAGTACCATCATCATCGCTACCATGGTCATTTTCAGTTTCCATTCAAACTAAGATCCGACGCAGTTCTTCTTAGCGTGACCATATTCTAAAAGATTGCATTCTGAAGAAGCTAAAGGATTTGCGCACTTTTTTGTCTTTTTCGGAGTCCCCTGACGATTGCTGGCCGAATATCTTCTTCCTTTATGCATGTTTTTTCCTTCTGGTAAATCTGGTACAATTTTTCTGAGTATCTCTCTCTTTCTTTCTGAATGTTTCGCCTTCTTCCGTTTCTTGCACTTATTAATGTTCTGCTTTCTTGAGCGTGACTTCCTCTTTATTGCAGAAAAGCTGTGTCTGAATACAGATTTACATGTTTCCTGACGTTCTACAAGTCCGGTACGTAGAGTAGTTAATTCAGTTTTCACACTCTGCAACTGAGATAACTGAGCTACATCAAAACCATGAGCTGTATTATGTCCTGTCAAAATTCGCCCAGATATTGAATGAATGGTTTTTTCAAGGTGTTCTTTTAGGATCTTTTCAATCTTGTCAATAAATTCTTGAAGGTCATCTATACGTATAATCTCCTGTTTTATTGTTCCACCATCACATGCGGTTTTAGCAGACGGTTTTACCTGAGAAAATACCCAGCCTGCGAATCATCCCTTTCATACTTAATATGCTCTGCCTGCTTCTTGATTTTTGAAATCATCTTCTCATTGTCATACTGATATCTGCATTCGGCATGGGGTGAAGTCCTTTTTCTTGTGACAGTATGCTCCTCCACGCTCCAAATAGGATGATTCATAAACATTGTTAAAGAATTTGTTCATTTCTGTACGTGGATTGGGAATCCAGCCTAACTTTTTATCTAGCTTCGCTTTTGCGGTGCTCATGGTGAAGTTGAAAGGTGCTGTTCTGGACTTGTATATTGCTAAGTGAAAGTTGAAGCACTCAAAAGGCGCATTGAAAGGGGAGAAAGTGGATATCGTAACAGCAGACATTGTTAGGTCGCAGTACTCAGATAGCCGTGATGATGCTAGTGACACGACATCAATGAATGCGATGACAGCGATGATGATGAAGAAGATATTGTGGAACAGCAAATTGGGAGTGATGATGACATTGAAGAGGATGAAGATGAGGAAGACAATGAAGTTCCTTGTCTTGAAGAAGAGAATATTTACGATTTATCCGAGATTAGGGAGGGTTTGTAGAACTTGGATGGGAAGAGCAAAAATTTCTGACTTTGCATGAGATTGATTTAAGAAATACGTGTTTTCCCAAAATTGATGGCACAATTATTACATAATTCAGAAATCAAATTTTAATGTAACATACAGGTAATTGAAACAAATCTCTCTGCATGGTTTTTTCAGGGATTTTTTACAAAAACTCAATCTTAAATTGGGTTTTGAAACTCAATCTTCTCACCAAAGTTTCAGTGCAGTAAAAATGAAGTTGTTTGAGTTAAATTTCGTACGTGTGGAAATTAGTTTTCAGTTGGAAGCCCGACAATTAAGAAAAAATGGCTGGAATTCATCTCGCAACACAAAAAAAACTATGCATTCGCCATCTTTAACAAGTTTATAGTGTCCCTTAGTGCCCCTGCTTTAACACATTCCGTCTCAACTACATTTATTGAGTACAGGTGTCAGCCCCCCGGTAGGGGGGGAGGGGCAGCCACCCCAGCCGTTCAGCTAAACTCAATCTTCTCTGCAAAAAACGGACCCAAGAGAAAATCCTGAAAAAAACCCTGCAGAGGGCCACAATTTTTTAGGGAGAGCCAAGCTTTTTGGGCTGAGATTTTAGATGGGTTATGTATTTTTGGGCCATGCTTTATAAAATGTACCCCCAATAATTATTGACCGTACTGTAGTAAAAAGCAATATATTGCTGTCGCCTAAACTCGTTTTTGCATCTCTTTTCGCATCTGAAACTTGTAAAATCTCAGATGGATTATAAATGTTAAAATATTCAATCAGATATGTATATTGCACTCTTTGCAACTGCTCCTGGTTAGGTAGGAAGATATAAATCTGCGTTCAAATATTCCACAATTAATTTACAGCGATCGTATTCCTAATTTTATAACTATAAACAGTTGCAGTAATTATACTTTAGAATAGTAAACATTGTTTACAAATTTGATGTAAATTTGCTTGCCAATATGCACAGACATGCAATTTTGAATTTTATTCATTTATAAATCAATGGTGTTTCCTGCAATCTGATTGGCTCTTAGGGCCTGTTTATATGGAAATGAGTTACCAGGTGAATACGAGTTACTTGGCAACGGTGAAATCCCAGCTATTATAAAAACTTATACTAATCCCAGGAGATTGTTTAATACATTATGAAAGTTCCGAGGTCGTCTAGCTGTCACAAAGCGTTTGTTTATATCCTGTATAAACATTTGAAACTTTTAAAGGCCAACTTTACTCGAAACCTTAGTGGCTTACTTCTTCGCTGGTTGTTATACTTAAAATAAATCCGGAAACAACCAAAATAAAAAAATCAACGTTTTTATGTAATGATTAAGTACAGTATCAAGAATTTGTATGAATACACATGAATTTGTGGTTAGAGCATGGGCTTTAGGACCAATGCAATTTGACAACAATAGTATTCTATATATATTAAATAGCAGTTAAAATAAAGTGTATGGCACCTGAACTGTTCAATATCTTGCTTGACACTGCTTCTAAACCCATAACTTAACATTTACATGTTTTGCAAATACTGTAAATACATATTTTCAAAATCCACCATATTCATTTGCATTAGAACCCAAGCTCAGCAAGCTTTTGCAGAACACGTCCGTGATTTGCAGTTTTGCACTAATGACAGGAGGATAAGATCATAATTGACCAATTATTTCATTGTTCGCTTCCATATATGGCACGCTTCCATATATGGCACGAACGTTTCTCCAACTTCCTTATATGGCACAAACGTGTCCCCAGAATACTTTACCGAGGCTGCTGTGATGTCATAAGATTCTTCACGCTCGGAACGATTTGAACAGATCACGTAGTACAGAACCTAGACAGCTGATTGGGTTAGCGAGTGACAACACCCACTTTGACTCTACCCTGCTATTATTAATGAAAATCACCGACCTAATATTTCGTGTGAACCGCGAAAGCTTGGGTTCTAATGTAAATAAATATGACGGATTTGGAAAATATACAGTATTTGCATATGTAAATATATTTATGCATTTAGAAGCATTGTCAAGCAAGATATTGAACAATTCAGGTGCCATACACTTTATTTTAACTGCTATTTAGATAGAATAATATTGTTGTCAAATTCAATTGGTCTTAAAGCCCATGGTTAGAGCTCATAATTGGACTTGACATTGTAGCTCAGTTCGTTAGAGTGCTGCACCAGAATCGCAGTTTCAATTCCTGTCAGAGGACGTTTAGTTGCATTTTTGCAGCTGTTCCTGGTAAAATTGAAAATTACTTCACATTTGGTCTTGTTCGCATGTTGCTAAGCTACAATAGTGAGGGAAATAATACAAGATAGGGAGGGTGTCTTAGGCCCCCTTTACACGAGCCCGGGTTGATTTTCAACCCGGGTCAGCACGCCACAGGTGGTTATTTTTTTATTCTGTTTACATGAACCCGGGTTGACGACAATTTTGCCAACCCGGGTCAGCAATTCTCAACCCGGGCTGACTCGAGTAATATTCCGAGCAACAGACTGGAGCAGAGTGTATTTTTGGCGCTTATATCCCTTAAAATCCCTTATAGACCTCATACGATATTATTACGATTATATACCTTTTAGTTTTGGCGCTTATTATATCTTTCAGTATACAATTATATCCCTTTTTATCAAGGATTTAACCGTATAGCAACTTAATTCTGCCTTAAAGACGTTTTCTTCCCTTTTTTTCCTCGTTATTTTGTACTGGAAGATCTACTGGGCAAAAATATTCGGCATCGAACGCCAACGCCAGACCTTCGCGCAACTTTGAATACATTGCGACAACATCGGAGTTGAAATCTACAATTTTATAATTCATCTCCGTCTTATAATCCTTCAGAGAAAGGATTAGGTGATCAATAATTTCAGACCACCACTGAAACGCGGGTTGTGCATTTTTTCTTTTGGTTTTGGACAGTTTTTACTCGCCATACTGTATGATTTTATATGTCTGTACCAAACAGAGACGGAGAAAATACGCACGCAAAATGTTGAAATGCGATATGACGCTAGGTGCAAAGTTCACAATCAGGAATTTACCGCACTTTACATGATCCCGGGTCAAGCCAACCCGGCTTTACATGAAGAAATGAGTAAACTTTTCACGCGTTCACACCTCGCCAACCCGGGTCGACCCGGGTCTCGAGAAGGGTGCCCCGGGTTGGCGAGGTGTGAACGGTTGACCCTGCTATCGTGTAAACGCTAATAGAGATTTATTCGTAGACGGGTTGACCCGGGTTGGCAAGCCAACCCGGGTTGATAGTCAACCCGGGCTCGTGTAAAGGGGGCCTTAGTGTTTCCGGCTGACAAAAATGTGTTCTAAGATTTAAAAACACTCTCATTAATAATTCATACGCTTATTGGCAAATCATGTCAACCATAATATTTGTCACGTGAAGAGGCTTTATACCTGATAAAACACATCTTCGTTAGTATTTTTTATATAAAAGTTCATCCTAATTAGTATACTTATACTTTATATAAAGAATACTAATGAGCAACATATCTATTGTTGTCATGTTTGAAGGTATTCAAAACACTTGTTGTCATGTTTTATCATATCTAAAATGCTCGTGCTGCGCACTCGCATTTTAAATATAAAACACTCCTCAGCATGTTTTAAATAGTACTCCAGCTTTGCAGTCATACAATAAACGAAGTGGCTATTCGTACTGGAACAGTACGCGGAGTTTGATCTGCTATTCGTACTGCAGTCGGAATATTTCTTTCAATTGTCGGGAAAATATTTGTTTCTATCGATTTTTATAACCCTACCGTTATAAAGGGACAGTAAGCTATTGCGATGGACGTTATTTTCGTTCCTGAAATCGATCTTTGAATCCTCGGCTTACTGTGTGGACATGACACTTAAATATTTCATGTAATATATGAACAACGAGAGCGAGTGTTTCACCGGGATATCCAAACACGAGAAAACAATGTATGAGAACACGAGCGCGAGTGTTTTCATACATTGTTTTCGAGTGTTTGGATATCCCGGTGAGACACGAGCTCGAGTTGTTTATATGGCTTCTCAAATGAATCGAGACGTAACAGAATGTTTTCGTTTGCTAATTTGAATAGAATTCTTAACCAAGCATAACGTAATTAGGAATTCTATTCAAGTAATTTTGCATGCGTAATTAAGATATTTGATGAAAACACTAGTGACTTTCATCAAGTATCCAAATGGCATCTTGTGATCAAATAGGTGATTATCATTGGCTGAATTACTCATGAATTATTAATGAATTTGAGAAATTTTAATGATAAAATATTTCATATTTTCTCCATGCGAGCACACGCGGGGGAGAAATAAACGCGCTTTCGCGCCTCGCGTGGAAAGAAGACACGCGAGGAAAGAATGAAGCGTGGCATTGCGTGTGAATGAATCAATGACTCAAATCTAAATTTTCAGCGCGATTTTTTGCCGCACTTTTATTCAATCATCTTATAGCAAAAATCATCTTAGCTGGTTGCCACACGTTGCGCTATGAAAGCTAGAAAAGGATTGCGCATTCCAAAAAGTAAGCTTATCGATATTATTCTATTTTACATTGCAATTTTGTGTGAAATTTTAGTATCGAAACCGATAACGAATTGTCACTAAACAATCGCTGTTATCTAATTTATCTTGAATTTTTGTAGAGCCTTTCCCTATGAAACAAGACACTGATTTAATATTGAAGGTAGGTGTCAATAACATGTTATCTGCCGAATAGTTTGTATCGGCTGTATGTATTTGGGCTAATGCATCAGGCAATTCCAGCTGCAAGTTTGCGACCACCCCCCCGGATAATGTGGCCATTTGCAGTGATGGGGGGGGGGAGGAGTAGGGGAGACACGAAAGAAAAAATAATTCGTGTACAAATTTTCAATAGGGAAAATTATAAGTTGAAAAAATTCATGCAAGGGATTATATTTAAAATATATTGACACAAGCAAAATTTTTTTAAAAAACTATAGTTGAAAAAGACCTACCCCACTTAGGGAGCAGTCATTATTAATACCGGGGGGTGGGCTGGAAGATATTTCTAAACTCGTGGTAAATTTTTCATGGCTCCTTATTCCTTCCAAATATTTTTCCATGGCCCCTCCTTTTAAATATAAAAAATTTCATACCCCCCCCTCCCCCTTCTTACCCCTGTGATTAAACTTGCATTCTAAACATATACTGTTTTTTCGGCCCAATCTCGCAAGGGTCGGTATAGACTTTATATAGTAATGTATAATATAGTAAAAATATGTCATAAAATATAAATTTAAAATGAAATTGACTTGCCTATTCGATAGTGTGTTCTCCTTCTATTCCTCTTTTGTTGGACTAATATTTTCCGAGACTTTGCACTCGATGGTACTGGTATATAAAGTCTATACTGACCCTTGCAAGATTGGACCACCTGTGGTGCAATTAATGATTTTTGTGATGGCTGGGGGGGGATCAAAACAACAAAAGTCCAATATTGTATAATTTTGATAAATACCACATGGACAAAAACGAGTTTAAAAAACATAGTATGGCAAAAAGAGCCTGTGGAAAATACCTGGAGACAGTTTTAAGAAATAATCGCGCCGTGATGCAGCAAAACATGACTATGTAAGTTTGTTAATGATTAAGAGCTTGTGCAATTTTGGCACATTTTTAAAATATCACTCATAGTGTTACTGTAATCATTAGTTGCACTCCTTCCTGTGTGATTACCATAGAAATAATAGATAGTATCTATTATTTCTATGGTGATCACCTATACTTATATAGCATTTATCACTTATTTACTGAGACCGAGGTAAACAGTGTTTACCACATTTATCACTTATTTACTGAGACGGAGGTAAACAGTGTTTTGTGGACCAGAGACTGCCGTTGTTGCCTGAGACGAAGCCAAGGGCAACAACAGCGGTCGAGGGGCAAAAAAAACACACTGCTTTCCCAAGGTCATGTGTGGACCGGCACGTGATACGGTTATGACTTATCAGCAAACAGAAAAATTGAACTTTGAGACTAACTATATAACAATGACATTTATATTACACTGAATAATTGCTGATGTTTTATGATTATTGTACATTATTTTTGGTGCCCCCCCCCCTAAGTGGTTAATAAATGTTTGGTCCCCCCCCCCTCAATATCTTCTGGCCCACCCCCAGCATTAATAATGACTGCTCCCTTTACGATGTTGGAGATTGGGGGAGGGGTTGAGAAGGTTCGAG